CTCCAGGTTGGGAAATGCCTGTAGATCTGAGGGTGGAACCTGGGGAGGGAGGGAGAGACTTCATCAGGGTATAATACCATGGAGTCCGTCCTCAAAAACAGCCATTTTTTTCTTGGGGAACTGATCGCTGTCATCTGGAGATCAATTGTAATTTTGGGAGGCCCCCAGGCTCTACCGAGACACTGGCAACCCTATCCTAAACAGAAGACTGTTCCCAGTGCTGCATACACACTAAGAGTTGTACCATGGGGTCCAGTCCTATTTAAATCCAGAGTGGCACACTAAGAGACCAGCTGGTTGGCAGGGAACGGGGGACTAAACTAGGGCTGCCAGCTCTGGGTTGGGAAATACCTGGAGATTTTGGGGGTGGAGCCAGAGGAGGGCGGGGCTTGGGGAGGAACTTCAATCGAGTATAATGCCATGGAGCCCACCTTCCAAAGTGGCCATTTTCTCCAGAGGAACTGATCTCTATTGCCTGGAGATCAGTTGTAATCCCAGGAGATCTCCAGCCACCACCTGGAGGCTGGCAACCTGAGACTAAACAGTGGCCTCCAGTCCAGTTTTCAAAGAGCTGGTTGCCAGGATTCTGGTGTTGAAAAGGGGCTTCGGTGATTAACAATCTCTCCTCTGTTCAGAGAACAATTTGATTGCAAATCAGGAGCAGCAGCCTCAAACACTTCACACAAAAATTGTTTGCTTTCTGTGAATATTCAAGATGGTTGGACATTTTTCCAGACTGTCTTGAATTATGATTTGTGCATGCACAGTTTCATTCTCTCACCCCATCCCTCATCCACCAAACACATGTTGTTGTTAATGACTTACAAAGAAGAGGTGTTTCAGTCCTCTTGAAGTGAAGGAGAGAGAAAAAGCCTGCTTGATAGATGCAGGAGGAGGTGGCCTTGTGAGAGGCTGGGGAGGCAGGAGGGCACCGTCTTCAAAATGACTGGGGAAAGGGCTGATGAGGACACTCCCAGCTCCAACTTGAACAGGAGGGGTGCCAGCAAAAGGGTGTCCACTAGCCCTCTCCCCTCTTGAACTGAACTGTCAGTGGTGTTGGGCCAGGACAAGAGGTTGCCATGCTTGGAGCAGAGGGTGGGACACTGACACCACCCCTACAGCATCTACTCCCCATGTTGGTAGACAGTGCTGTGAAGTTGCAGCCAACTTATGGCAACCCTATAGGGCAGGGGTGTCGAACTCATTTGTTTTGAGGGCCGGATCTGACATAAATGAGACCTTGTTGGGTCGGGCCATGTGTGTCATAAAACGTAATGCCAGGTAGCAGAGATATAAACTTTATAGAGGACACAAACACAAAGGTGTTTTTTTTTACTTAAAATAAAAACAAGCTTAAAACATTAGCACTCTCGCAATACTTTGTTTATTTAACAGTGTCTGATAACTGACACCTCTTGCTCTGAATTATTGCATCAAAATGTCTGTACTGTTGCAATCTTGAGTATGCTGTTCAGGTGTGTATCCGTAAGCTGCAAACCTACAATGACAGAGCAGCAGCAGAACTGGAAGAAGAAGCAGAAGACAGCCAGTCCCATTGCGGGCCTCATAGAAGCCCTCCGGGGGCCTGATCTGGCCCCCAGGCTGCATGTTTGACACCCCTGCCATAGGGTTTTCAAGGCAAGAGACATTCAGAGGTAGTTTTTTATTGACTGCCTCTGTGTTATGACCCTGGACTTCCTTGGTGCTCTCCCATCCAAATACTAACCAGGGCCAACCCTGCTTAGCTTTGGAGAGCTGATGAGATCAGGCTACTCTGGGCTATCCAGGACAGAGCACCTTCTCCTAGTGAAAAAATAATGGACTGGATCCAAGGATTCCCTTCTGCTAGGTGAGGGATCTTCCCCTGAAAGAAGTAGCCTTGGGGGAAGACTGCTTCTATCAGAGGTAAATCTATCACTTCCTGGGAGTTATAGGATCCAACTCAGTAATAATCAAAATAACCAATGATTTTAATCAAAATAATTGCCACCCATTTAATCATTTCCCAAAGTTCTTCTATCAGCTTCCTTACTATAAGCTCAATTAATCTGCAAGCATACTTTTGGCAGCTTCATACCCAAGCACCATAAAACTATACACACCATTATCTTCTAAGATCCCTTTCCTTTGTTCTATCAGTAGCCACTATCGGAAACATTCATTTGATGTGATTGTTCCCTTTAATATTTTACACCGATTATCCCCGAGTTGCTTAGCACTGATAAATTCCTTGGAGTCACAGAAATTCTATCAGGAAGGTCTGCATCTGTGGGAACAATTCAGTGTGGGGAAAGCTCCTCTCGAAGTAGCTCTCTGTCCCTCTCTTTCTGTGTCTGGAATCCTGCCTGGGTATCATGAGGCTTATGTTCCAAGACAGCAATATCATTAAGGGACAGTACCTTTTGGCAGCTCCCCAAGGAAGTATCCAATATTGAACTACAAAATCTGTGCTGCATTTGGGTAACTGAATCATAACAGCCCATGGTTTAAACAAAGCTAAACAGGAGCAGAGTCTTTCTTACTGAGTACCCCTACCAAGATATCTGTAGCAATGCAGTTTTATATGTGCAGCAAGCATCATACCTGTGCTACTGGCCAGAGGGGAAGAAAACAGGCTGAGAATTCTTCTTATTACATTTGTAGCAATTTCTATATTTTACATCCTATGTTTAGGTTAAGAATTATCCTTTTTAATTCTCAGATTTTAGCAAGCATACATTGGGCAGTGTGTATGCAGCTATTCTGCATATATACAGAAAAATCAAGAAAGTGGCATTTGGACACAAAATTCATCTCCATGCTACTTTATTTTATTATTTCTTTACTTCATTAATACCCCGACTTTCTCCCTGTGACTTCTCCCTCAGAGGGACCAGTGACAGCTGACACAATGTTGGAAAACATCAGTTAAGGACAGCAGTTGAGAGTTGGCAGCTGGGGAGTTGAACATTATACTGGTAATAAGCCCCATTGGGTGCATTCAGATGTGCTGTTTCAGTTGGAACCGGAGCAGTTTGCTCTTGAAGAAACGTGATCACACTCACCTCCTGACTGCGCAGCACATCGCGATATGCCCGGTCACACATCAGTGGGGTTTAAAAAAATTTTTTTTACATTTTGCGCATGCGCATAGGCAGCCATCCACAGAGTTGAGATTTTTGCTCAGGTGCAGAACACCCTGTCTTGAAAAGTGTGCCCTGAAGCGAAGACGTCCCTTTAAATTTTTACTCTGAAACTGGCCTCCGTGAGGTCCCGGACTCGTCTAAAGCCTTACACTTGGCACATTTTAAAAATTATTATTATGAATGATGGGGCGAAGCTTCACCCAAGCGCACATCGCCTACTAAAAAAAATGGCGGCCGAAAAGCGGAAGCCTTGGGCTTCCGAACGGAAGTGGCTAGACACCAGCAGAGAGTGGTCAGATGGGGATAATGTGGCTGAAACCGGTGCACTCAGGATACCACCACTTGGGGACCTAGTAGCAGAATACAACGGTTTGAAGGCTGTTTGCAATGGTTAGGGACGGAAGGCAGATGTTCGCCATGTGATCGCCCGTAAGTGCACCAATTCCAACCGGCATCTATAGCGGCATAAATGCCTCGTCTGAACGCACCCAGTGAGTAGTATTCAAAATAGATCAATTTAGGATTGCTCCCTTGGTGCATTTTCCCTTACGGAATCCCAGTAATGTGTTTTTAGTATCCTAGTAGGGATATTTTGGGCCAAGTAATGAGTTTTTGTAAAAATAAATGAAGACCCTTGGGGCTACAGTGGCTCAGAGGTTAAGATGCTGAGCTGCAGACTGGAAGGTCGGTAGCTGGCAGTTCAAGACCCTATTGCTGCATGACGGAGTGAGCTCCCATCTCTGGCCCCAGCTCCTGCCAACCTAGCAGTACGAAAGAAAGAAATTGCAAGCATTCTGTGCGCCTCAGTGTTTAGTCATGCTGACCACATGATCACAGAGATGAGCACCGCCCCCTAGAGGTGGATTTGACTGGCTTTCGAGCAAGGGAAACCTTTACCTTTTTACAATTCTAAAATTATTTCAAACATTGACATGATTTTGTAACTATTTTTATTGGACATTTTGCTAATTTTTGAGATGCTAGCACCATCACTGAGCAATGTTATATTATTATCCTGGTCTTGAGAATGGCAGGTTCTGTTACGAAGGCTCTTTTTCTGTTTGTTCCATTTTAGATCTAGTAGGAAAATATGCACAGAATCTAATGCATCATAGCTGTCATGGAATCTCCACTGAAGGAAAGGTGATGAGTATTCAAGGTTGCTTAGAAACTAGCCAATGTATTGCAGCCTGAACTTTCCTAGGCAACAGCCTACATCATCAGATACATGAACTGTTTTGGGAAAGGGTGATGGAACCCACACATATGGGGTGAGGGTAAACAAAATTCACAATGTGGAATTAGAAATAAAGGGAATGTAGAAAAATCCCCTGAGAGCGGGGTGCCAAATATGAATGCAGCATACTTTCTAAACTTTTTTTTAGAATATCAAACCATGACTTCTACCCAAAAGACTTAGCTTTGAGAGTTCCTACAGCTGCAAGTTCCGACAGTTACACACAGATCATTACATCTGTATAGGACGTTTTAAAGGGATCACTTTATAGACTGATCAGCTTTAGAAACCAGTATTTTGTATCAAGCATTTAGCAAACTACAAAAATACATTAATTGCCAAGAGGAATCATTTTTCTGATTGGACATCAGTTGTTTACTATGGGCTGGAAAAACAGAGGTTACTGACGAACAAATACTTTCAGTACCACCACTCTACAATTCCAGGGTTGTAACAGGAACACACTAGAACACCAAGCTTTTGTTTCCTGTTTCCTTAAAAAACTACAGTCCTGAATTTGGATTCTTACATGTTTGTAGCCACTTGTGAAAGTGAGGGCCAAAAGCCAAAGGAAGCTATAACCAAGTCTTAGTGTTAAATATTTTAATCTTTTTCAGCAGTATTAACCTGTTTCTCTTTCTTTGCAGATTTTGGCAATCATTTCCATCATGTTCATTGTCCTCTCTACGATTGCCTTGTCACTCAACACCCTTCCTGAGCTCCAAGGCATGGACGAATATGGTAATCCCACAGATAACCCCCAGCTGGCCCACGTGGAGGCAGTTTGCATCGCATGGTTTACAATGGAATACCTCCTACGGTTCCTATCCTCACCGAAGAAGTGGAAGTTTTTCAAAGGTCCACTGAATGCCATTGACTTGTTAGCCATCTTACCCTACTATGTTACCATCTTCCTCACAGAATCAAACAAAAGTGTACTTCAGTTTCAGAACGTGCGGAGGGTGGTTCAGATATTTCGTATCATGAGGATACTCCGAATTTTAAAGCTTGCCCGGCACTCTACAGGTTTGCAGTCCTTGGGATTTACACTGAGGAGAAGCTACAATGAACTGGGGCTGCTGATTTTATTTCTGGCCATGGGCATTATGATCTTTTCTAGCTTAGTTTTTTTCGCAGAAAAAGATGAGGATGATACAAAATTCAAGAGCATCCCAGCATCTTTCTGGTGGGCAACGATAACCATGACGACAGTTGGCTATGGAGATATCTACCCTAAAACACTCTTAGGTAAGATTGTTGGTGGGTTGTGCTGTATTGCTGGTGTCTTGGTGATTGCCCTTCCTATCCCAATCATTGTAAATAACTTTTCTGAGTTCTACAAAGAACAGAAGAGGCAGGAGAAAGCCATCAAGCGCAGAGAAGCCCTTGAAAGGGCCAAAAGAAATGGCAGCATTGTGTCCATGAATATGAAGGATGCTTTTGCCCGTAGTATAGAACTGATGGACATAGTGGTGGAGAAGAAGGCAGACAATGCAGGGAAAAAGGATAAAGTTCAGGACAATCATTTATCCCCAAACAAGTGGAAGTGGGCCCAGAGATCAGTGTCTGAAACCAGCTCTAACAAATCGTTAGAGACAAAGGAACAACAAGGGTCACCTGAAAAAGCACGTTCCTCTTCCAGTCCTCAGCATCTGAATGTCCAACAGCTGGAAGATATGTACAACAAAATGGCCAAAGCTCAGTCTCAGCCAAATCTTAACACTAAAGAATTAGGTCAATCCAACAAGCAAAAAGAAGAGCTTGAAATGGAGGCGATCCCTGGCCCAATGGTTCCTTTGCTGACCACACGTGCAGATGGAATCGTTGACATGAGGAGCATGTCAAGCATTGACAGTTACATAAGCTGCGCAACAGATTTTCCTGACTCTGGGAGATATTCCCACAGCCCCCTAACTACACTGCCTAGCAAAGGTGGACTAAATCCAGTTCATGATCCATATCGGCTAGAAGGAAGTGGGGCCAAATTCATGGAGATAAAACCAAATCTAGAAAGTGCCCATTGCTCCACTTTTTTCATAGAAAGCCCAAAAAGGTCCATAAAGGTTACTAATCCTCTGAAGCTAAGATCTCTGAAGGTTAACTTTATGGAAGAGGATGTCAGTTCGATAGGGTCAGCAGCTTCAAATGTCCTGAGAATATATCCAGATTCCATTAAGAACAGGGGAATTCCAGGTGCAACTACAGATAGTTCCATACATTCTGATCGATCCTTGATGAGTCCAGAAACCTCTCTCTACACCACAGCAAGTACAAGAACACCCACCAAATCACCAGAGAAGCAGACAGCAATAGTTTTCAACTTCCATGATGCCGGGATACATAAATATATTGACGCTGACACTGATGATGAAGGACAACTGCTGTATGATTCAAGCCCTCCGAAAGCCCCGCCTGGAAATATAAGTCCCAAATACAGCATTTCAAACAGTGGCTATTTAAGGCAAAGGGATCCCGTTTTTAGAACACAGAAGAACCACTTAGAGACTGCTGCTTTACCCTCCTCATCCAAACTCCTAGGGCAGAATTGCCTTTATTCAATGGACAGTATCACTGGAAGAACCCGTGGTAACCGGGAAAGTATCAAATTAGAGAATCACATTTCACCTGAGGTTCACATATTGCCGAGTGGAGGAGGAGGACATGGGAATACACGTGATCAAAATATCTGACATGTGCTCCAGAACTTTTGTTGAAAGCTTAAATAAAAAGGGAATGCCTTTACACTCGACACACAAAGAAGAGCTTCTGCATGGCATGAACTTTTGACTGAAACAAGCCACCTGTTTTGTAAAAGCCAAGAGAATGCCCTTAAAGTGGGCTAGAGATAAGACCTCTTCTGGAACCACTGCAATGTTTTGCCCCCCAGTCCAGCTACAGTCATCAGTCAAACTGAAGATGGTGCACCTTGGTCATACTTTGATCTCCTTTTACTTCCTTCATTGAAGTCAATGTGACCAAATATTCCATTTGCTCCTTCTTTTTGATGAACCTCTTTTTGTGGCAATGCCAGTAATCTAATTTGCATTATCCCTTAAAGGAGGCCAAGGCAGCCTAGTCAATACTGGGACAAAATTGGTAGATATGAAACACTTATCCCTTTTTGCTTAGGGGCAACTGTTCCAAACATTCCCATCCATGCCTTTTTCTCTGATGGATATACAAGGTCTAAAGGTAACAGGGTGGGCTTGGATAGGTTTATGGTTAGGTTGCAGTTTTAGTGAACTGAGTGTCCTAGAGAAATAAACTGTTCAAATTCTCTGTGTGTGCTTAATATATACTGAGACTGGCAGTTTTATTTTTTAAAATTATCAGCAGGGTGAGTTGCACCACTTGTATCCTGAACCCGAAACACACTTCCATCCCATCAAAATTAGGTGAAATTTGCACTTAATACTGCTTAAAGTAACACCAGAACTGAGATTAGGAGTTTTTTAAAAAAACAAAAACAAAACTGGGACTAGGAAGGCAATTTTCAATGGAAAAGACAGTGGGGTGCGTGAAGGAGCTGTCCAAAACTAGGGAATCTCCTGAAGACATTCTTATGGTCTTATGAATGACACAGAGTTCTGCTGGCCTTCTTGGAAGTGAACAAGCAATTTTGTTCTCACCCGTTTCTGTTTGTGAGGAGGGGGTATCCTTAGTATGGTATTACCAAACACCAACAGATTGGTGAACAAAAGGAAAGCACAGCCATTGAAGATTCTCACTGGGGTAAAACAAAAAGAAAAAAAAACGGCAGCATTGAAATGGGAGTCCAAACTGAGCTGGAGAACAGCTCCTGCACAAAGGCAGCTAAAATAAATAGCAGGAAAAGGCATCTGATGGCTCCTCCCTGAATTATATGCACATCTTTTCAGTGCTTGTACCCAATCTGTTCACCAGGCTAGACGAATCCTTCTGCAACATTTTGCACTTAAATAGTGTAGAATGAAAAGATATGCAAGTGTTAAATAAATACATACGTAAATATGCAAGAGAGAGAGAGAGAGTTGTCCCTAAGCAATGAGCCTGATTCTCCTTTCATTTGGATTGGGATAAATCAAGATCAGCTCCAGTGGAGTTTTGTAGATATAAAACAGGCATAAATGGGAAAGAGAACTGAAGCTAACATCTTAAATAGTTTCAGCTGTTTCATTTTTTTAACTGACCGTTTCAATCAAAACGATAATCAGCAGCACCAGCTTGGATTTATAACTTATACTGTTATATTCAATGTAGTACCATTTAATTTTGTTGGTATTAAAAAGCACTTTATGTTGATTTTATTATTGCTTTTGGGGGGGGAACAAGTGGAGTAGAGAAGCAGAGAGAATGTATTTTTTTAAAAAATCTAGCACTTTAAAAAAAAAAGCACTATCTTGATTTGTGCCTCGTCACATCTGTGATTTGTTACCCACCTGGTAACAAACTATGATTAACTGTGATGATAACACTTAATGTTGTGTCCATTGTTACTGTAATCTATGTGTCATTGAAAGTTTGACTTCTCTTTTCAGAGTACAGTGCACTCTTATACCAGACACATTGGCGTGGACTCCGGTATACTGTCTTATTCAGGCAGACAGTATGAGCAGAAACCTTAGATTGTTGCCATACAAAAATGAGCAGCCAGAAACATATTTGAAAGACACAAGCTCATGAAAAGCTCACAGAAACTGATGCAGTCCAAAGCATAGAGAATTCTGTTAAAATCAGTGTGAGGGAAACAAAAAAGGTATTTTGTGTTTCTTTTCTTTTTTTCCCTAACAAAATGGGGCTCTATTCCATTCCTCCAGGAAGAGACCTAGAAAGATGCTTTTCTAGTGGTTACCTATGTGAGTTCCTAGTTAAAAAGTCAGGAGCAGCTCTCTGAAAAGGGCCACTCCCAAAAAATTAGCTTGTACACAAGACTTTCACTGACTGTTTTAAAGGAAGATTTTTCTTTTAAAAAAAAAGTTAACAGTGAGGTTGGCTTCAGTACAACTGATTGACCTTTTTATTTTTTTGCCATGGGCACTATAAGTGTGTAGCTACTTGCATGCAGCAGGCCTTGGTACTTAATTCTGAAAAGAAACTCTGTAAGTAACACATTGCATCCCTGAAAAAGGCCGCCCACCATCTGCAGATAACCCATTTTGTAATATAGCTGCCTTTCCGGTGTCAAATAGCCGTTGGTTAGTCCTGAATGTAACTGTTGTCCGTACAAGCTGTACTGTACTTCCGTCTCTAATGCATGCAGCATGCACGGACAAAAGCAATAAGCACATGTACATCTTAGAAATTGTTCTGGGGTTGTTATCCTTGCTTTGTCAGTCAGTTCGTTGCACAATATTGTATGTAGGTTTGGATATTTTGCACTTCTACTCAATTATCCAAATACTTTCTATTCTATTAGAATGTTTGCAGAGAGGCCCTTACACCACCGTCATATCGACTCACATTGGAACAGAAAGAGGTTTTGCACATCAAGAAGCCAATAACATCAGATTAAAGAAGTTTTAGGCCAGTTAAAGTGGTTCAATTTCGTCCCACACGAAGAGTCACACAAAGTAACCCCCTCCCAATTACCTCTATATAAAAAAGTATCACCAGAAGAGCATATTCATAAAGTACCAATGCCTGAAAATCATTTATCATCCTTTTGCTCATTCCACAGTCCAGTAAAGAAAAGTCCCATACTAAATATGTGTACTCAGGAGAGTTAAGTTACCTGTAACGATCAAGTAACTCCCAGGCAGTAATAATGCAGCAAAGGAAGTTTGAAGCACACTTTACCATGAACATATGAAGCTGCCTTATACTGAATCAGACCAATGGTCCATCCAGGTCAGTATTGTCCGCTCAGACTGGCAGCAGCTCTCCAGAGTCTCAGGCAGAGGTCTTTCACATCACCTGCTACCTGGTCTCTTCAACTGGAGATGACGGGGATTGAACCTGAAACCTTCTGCGTGTAAAGCAGATGCTCTACCACTGAGCCATGGTCCCTCCCTGATTATGAAGTGAGTCCCACTGAACACTTAGACATGTGTTAACGTGCTTAAAATTGGGGACACCATAACTGTATTGGCGACACTCCCGTGGGTTTTAAGGTTGGCAATCTGTCTTAACAGAGGGCTTGATAAGGAGCCAAGTGTTGTGGCCTGATCCAGCAAAGGACTGCCTCTGTGCTTAAGTAGACTACTGAAGCAAAACTAGAGTGCTTAGGTCATTTGCAGGGCAAACCCCTCAATTGTTTGTGTTCCGAGTCTGTCATGTCCATCATCAGCACAAATGTTTTTTTAAAAAACAAAACAAAAAAACCCCACAGAATTCAGGGAAAAAATGATTTTTGATAAAGTAATTAATACTAACCTCCATGCTGCATACTAAGTCGATTCTTTCATGTAAAAAAAAGTTTTCAAAGGAGTTGTATTTTTCAAAATCAGGAAAGCAAATGCATTTAAATACAGCCATTAGAGAGGTTATTTAGCACTTCTTTATCTAAAGTGATACATTTGGTTTATAGGCATGCATTTTATCATTTTAAAAAACAAAACCTGGAAAATCACAATTGGTGCAACTCTCCTTGTAACCAAAGCCCCCTCCCCCCCCCAATTGCCTTGTGCTGTCAACCGTGAAGGGCAAAGCTCTTGTACGCCTAGTTGAAACCTTTCAAGTAACATTTTATGGGGTCGCTTTTGACAGCTCAGTTCAAAAGTATCATAAAACATCTACCTTTTGAGTGTGAATCGCCAAAGTCCTATGAATTTCTTATAGAAAGAGAGTAATTAAAGCTAAGCATATAATATGCTCAGAAAAAGCATTTCTTTCTTCTATTTGTGATAGTGTAGTTCTAGCTCACATTTTTGTGCCCAACTGCAAACAAATGTATCAGCACAGCCCATTGTGAAAGGATTCCAGGACATGCCCCGATGACAGGGCTCAGTACAGAAACCAGTTCTTCTTCTCCGCAGTCCTTATTCCTTTCAGCATGTGGTGTGCCCAAGAACTTTCTGGTGGATTTTGCTCTGTAATTCGTTATAAATTAGTTCATGCCTGACAATTAAACAGTATGTTTCAAATATGCATCGATGTATGAGCACTGGGAAATCTACTCTGAACTGAAAAGTATTTGTGACGATGCAAAGAATGTCTGTACTCATCACAAAAGAAACAGTAGTGCTTTGAACAACCTTAGCATTCACCCATTGTCTGTATTTAAAGAGTATCTCTAGGTCATTTGCTCGCTTGTTAGGTGCACGATCAGCCCTACTGCCAGAATTCTCTGGGCAGCACTTTTCAGGAGGAGGGACCTGGTGAACTGAAGGAGAATGAGTAAAATTGGTAAAATTGTCATCATGGGGTCATGAACCGGAGCAGGCAAGTAGAAGGCCCATGCAATTCATGCTGAGCTGTACCATTTCAAGCGGTAGGTAGAGGGCTGAACAATCCACTGTATTTAAAAAAAATAAAATAAAACCTTCCTTTGCATGAAAAACTAAAGACATAGCCCAGCTTCTCCTAGCCTGGCTTTCTCCTGATGTGCTAGGTTTGTATGTTTGAAGAGTATTTCACACACTGCATCATTCAAACATTCAGTATCCAAACCTGCAGTATAAAATGGTATCGCTCAGCAACACACATATCAGGTGGCGCATCCATTTGTCTGTTTTAGTTCCATCTGAGAGAGAAAAGTGAGAGAGGAGAGAGATGGCAGCTAGCATTAATAAGCTTAAGAACTGAGAGAAGTTGGAGCCACAAAAGCCCTTTTTGACACAGCTTGAATGGCAAGGGGACTTATGATCACCCCCCCTCCAGTGCATGGCATGGAACCACATCTTAATACTTCACAGTGG